GTTCATACTACCATTTGTTGACTATAAATAGAGAGACTTCCTCTCATTTTTCAACCACATTTTTTTCTAAACTTCTACTCTTCTTCTTCTTGTATTTTAAATTTTTTTGTGTGATTTATTGTTGTTGAGTGAGTTCGAAGTTTAGCGGAATATGAGGTACCACTATTCTAATGAAGTAAGTCATTTTATCCCAAGAGGGTATATTCCATAACCTCGAGTACTTGAGGAAAATAATATAATTTTGATGATATAATAATTATTGTTTTGCTTAATATATACATTAGTATGTAATGTTCCAATATATGAAGTTAACATGATATAGTTTTAATTCATTTGTTTTTGTTAACAATTTCTCTTGTGATGTAGATATATGCTTCTGAATATCTTTTCCAAAATTTAGAGAATTGTCACGATTTGTTTTGATGCTCAAGACAAAAGAATGAGTATATTTATCAATGCTATTTATGCGATTTAAACTTTCAGGAAATTTGCTTCAAAATAGTTAGTACTATATAAACATTGTCCTTTTGTTTTACTTATTTACTATTTCTTAATATTTCAGTATTTTAGACGAAGAAAAGTTTATATGACTTGTAATAACGCCAGTTGAAGTTTGTATGAGTTTAATTTTTATTATTTATTTAATACTTAATTTTATGAGATAAATATTTTCATTAATGCAAATATATATGTATATTTGGGTAGGTATTTGTATTTAAATTAAAGTATTATATATGTCACAAATGTATTATCAAGTTAACGAGATCTTCTAACTTTAAATTATATTATTTTATAATGTTCCGAGTTCTTTTTTAAAAAAAAAAACTCACAAAAAATGTGAAAATATGTGAATATATAAAATGTAGTTGTTCTCTTCACATGTTCATATGACATCTAAACAATTTAACGTAGAATACACATGCAAAGCACATCTGGTTAGATGACAAGAAAAATATAAAATAAATATTATCTATAAGGTAATATTAGTGAGATAAGACTAATTACATGATTGAACCTCATCAAATTGAAATAAATGTATACATAATTGCATTTGTCACACCCCTTTTCGCGCACAGTGGTAGCGATAGGGTTTTTCCAATTTAAGTGACGGTATTGATTTAGGGATTATTTTATTATTTGTTTCAGAGTCGCCACTTGGAATTGAGTTGTGGTGTTCCAAGTCACCTTTTCGAATCCCTAATCAATAGGAAATGACTCTTTTAGTTTTGATCTACGAATTAGAAATTCGGGTAAGGAATTCTGTTGATCGAGGGGAAGGTATTAGGCATCTCTCGAGTCCCGTGGTTCTAGCACGGTCGCTTTTATTGACTTATACTTATTTTAATATGTTTTTGGATAATTTGTGTCTAAGGCCATGGTTCACTTATTTTTTAATTGTTGAATTTTTATTATTCTTAAACCGGATGAATAACTACATTCTCGATCTTGACATTTTAGAGACATAACTGTCTTCTTTGCATCACACTTAATAACCTTTTTTTTTATAAGTCACTACCTTAAATTAATAAAAAAACTAATTATATTAGTGGACAAGGTGCGTCACCGCATCCTTGAGTTTATTTTAATGTCTCAAAAAAATGTGTAACCACATTCTTAATTGAAACAAATATTTTTTAATTTGTTTAAGTGTTCGATGTAACATTAAAAGAAAATATGTATTCCTAAAACAAATTTTGTTTGATAAAATAAAACAACAATAATTTATTTATATATTTATTTTTTTAGCCTAACTATACCTACTTTATCATTATTATCTAAATCAAGACAAGAACAATGTTACGACTTGTTCATTTTTAAGAGATCACAACTAATAAATAAAAATAAATAAATAAAAAACAAAATCATCAATTAAAGCTACTTTCATTCATGAAATAGAGATATAACCACTAACAAATGAGTCATTTCTATCAAATTCATGAAGGAAACAAAATATAATAAACTTGTCATAAAATTACATCAAATTCCATGAATAAATTAAATAAAAAGATAAAGTAAAGTTGAATACCGCAAAATCTTAACCGAAGCTCGATTAGAACATCCACAACTTTTGTAGGTTGTTTATAATGGTATATGTGTTTGTGTTGATATGAAAATAATTGGTAAGGAAGAAAAGATGTGAATGTGTTGGTGAATTTTTAAAAGGATAATCAACTAAAATGGGAAGGTTTTTCTTCTTCTTCTTTTTTTCTCGTGTAATCTGTTCTCCTTCTTTTTTTTTTTTTTTTTTTTCCCTTTTTCTGTATGTATGTGTATACGGTGTTGTCGTACGTAGGTGTGTAGTGTGTAGTGTGTGGAGTAGTATAGGGAGAAGTGGGGATGTGTTGTAGTGGAGGAAAATGGGGGAGGGAAGTGGGGTTTTAGGTGGGGTAGTGGGGTAAGTGTAGGTATATATATAAATATAATTACTAACTAATTATTTTAAATTAAATGTAAATTTAAGAAAAGTTAAATAACTAATTAAGAAACACTAATTTATTTATTAAATATACATTAAAAGAAAACATATATTTTTTGAACATTTTCTTCTTTTTTTGAATAAATTGAAAACAAAACTTAACTTAGAACATGACTCTATTTTTGTGGTTTTCAAATATTTTTAACACTAAACTTACTAAAATATGATAAAACCAAAATATTTAATTTAAACGTAAAAGAAATATTTAACCACTAAAATTTGTGTAAAATATCAAGTTCGGTCAAAAATTACGTGTCTACAGCATTTAACTAATAAAAAATTTCAAAAGTCTTCTTTATTTTCTTAAACTCCGTGCCAAGTCAAACTAGGTCACTCATTTTGAAACGGAGGGAATATTATTTTTTGCTAAGCTTATTATTGAAATCTTCACTTAAATAAGCAATACTATTTACTATAACATATATTTTGAAATTGATAATCACGTGCAACGCACGTGTCAAAAAACTAGTATATATATATGTCGGGGGGAGGGGGGTTGTTTTTACAAAATATAAACTTCTGGACCAATTTTTGTATTTAAAAAAATCTCAAATCATGATATAAAATTCTAAAATCATGATTTTTGGAGAAATTGAAATCTCATTTCATAATATGAAAGTATGAGATGAAATTAGCATGATATCGCATGCCCAAACGCTGGTTTCATATCGCATGTCCAAATATATACTAAGATTTAATGATACAACTAAAAATATCTTATACGAAAGCTAAATTTAAAGATAAAATATAAAAAATTGGAATCTTTAACTTAATAGTCAAAAAAGAGAGTTCCTCTAAGCAAAACATATAGCTGAAGTATACTGACTATCTGCCTGAAAGCCTCTACTAAGATGAGTTGTTGGGACAATCCCCCAACTAATTCTAACTGTCTGTAAACTGAAAGATTAAAGTAAAGAAAGATAAAAGTAGATATTTTCCTCGAAAGATGAAAACTCACCAAACTTGATTGGTGAGATGATAGCAAAATTGTACTAACTGCGAGTTCGATGTTGAACGCTTGAACCTATATTATGAACAATATAGTGCAAGAAAATATGTTGTCAATATTTTAAATTTACACAGTATGCAAGATATGCACTATACTCTAATATGTTGAACATGATCAATTTGAGATGCTAAACTGAATATTAAACTGTGATAAATAAGTTAATGCAATGACCAATTAATAAACATGCAATTGAGCAATACTGTACTAAATAAATTAAATACATTGCATACAAATATTTGAGACTGAACTGTGGTAGATTTTGATGACCAACATATTTCGACTGAGTTAAGTGGAGTCCAATTTGTACCCTGACTGAAAATGTGTTTTTACCTTGTCAAGGGTATGACCACTAGACTTAAAAATTGCCACTACATGTCTTATCCCAACTGACAGTTGAACCTTCATTCTTACGTTAGTTTGGTGCTAAGTAATACTTCTAATTGAATTTATACTAATAAACTGAATAGTTCAATAATATTGAAATTTGAGACTGAAACGCTAGAGATGTTTTTTAATAAAAATGATAGACTTCATTTGAAAGCATCTTATACATGTGGAATTGAATAATCGAGTGTAACACTAATCGTGACAATTATATATTCTAAACAAAAACATTCAATTTAAACAACACAGGTCTAAAGGCATGAAATTTTGTGTTCTGAGAGTTCATGAAATATACTTAAGTAAAATACTAAATTATATGAATGAAAAAAAAAACATCTTTATAGACTACCAATGAATGGAACTTAAAATTACACTGAAATTTATATTGTTTATAAGAATTCTATTTTGAAATTTAATAACTGAAGAATGAAGTCCAATTTTTAAGATTCAATAAGTGAAAGGATATCCACTAGTGAAATTTTATATACTTAGAAGGAAAGATCTTAATGGAATCCATATTAATGCGAATGGGATTAAGGATTTCAATTAGGTTAAAGAGTAAGTGAGAATAATATATTTTTTTTAGTTTCCACCCGATGTCCGGTACTCATATTGGAGTTCGACTAAATTCAAATTCGCGCCAGGAAATCTCACATTGATGGGTAAAACGCTCCCTAACAAAGACGACTCCATACCCAAGAGGGCTTGAGCCCAAGACCTTTTGGTTAAGGATGGAGGAGTAATTACCACTCTATCACAACCCTTGTTGGTAGTGAGAATAATATTGATCTTCATTGTGGATTAAAAATATTTTGTGATTCTTATGTCAATTTTTACAACATTTATTAATGGTTGGTCTAAATCGTAAAAGTCCTAGAAACTTTCATTTCAATTTTCAATATGATATGATTAATTAACTTTAATGAGTTAGAATAGATGCATGAAAGTGAGAGAATCATCCTGGTTGGTGACTTTGTGGGATTCATTGCATTGTATATATTCTCAGTATTTCACCTTTACAAGTTTTATTTATTTCATATAAAGTGTTATTTTTAAGTTTGTGTTCAAACAATTTTTCCTTTATAATCATTATGTGAGAACTCATATTGTGACCAACCAGAGCAGGAGACAATGACTCACGTGTTTCTAAAATCCGTTTTTGCTAACAGGACATGGTCCTACTTTTGCTCTTTTGCAGGTATTAATATAGCTGGTCTGTCATTAAGAGAAACCATCATGAAGTGGTGGGATACGAGTGGGAAAGCAGATATGAGACCTTATTACAGAGCGTTACCAAGTTTTGTAATATGGGAACTATGGCAAAGAAGGAACAGGAAAAAGCACGAAGGGAAGAATCTATCCGCACAAAGAGGTATACACAATATTACAAGGCATATGCACATGTTGGTAAAGGTTCGGAGGCCTAACATGAAGTGCTCAGTAAGTTGGTCAGATATGTTGAAGGAACTAGAGGAGTATTGTCCAGAACTGACAACTAAACTGATCAAGTGGGAATGCCCTCCTGCAGGATGGTGTAAATATAACACGGATGGGGCGTCTAGAGGCAATCCTGGGCAGAGCTCTTATGCCTTTTGCCTAAGGAATGACAAAGGAGACATGATTTATGCAGAAGCGGCAACTATTCAAAGCAGTACGAGCACGGAGGCAGAAGCGAAAGCAATTTTAGAAGTGAGTAAACATTGCAAGAGTACACAACATAATCACATCATCTTTCAAACAGATTCGCTGCTATTATGCAAAGTGTTAAAGGGTGAATGGAAGATACCATGGTGCATCAGTGATACAGTCGAGGAAATAAAAATTTGCCTAATTGGAAAAGATCACAAATTTGTGCACATAATGAGAGAGGGAAATCAGTTAGCAGACTACTTAGCAAACAGAGCAATAGATCAAGGAAATTGCAATTTTATAGAATTTGGGGACATGGGATATAAAGGGGAGAAAGATCATTAACAGTAATAAACTAAATTGCCCTTACGTAAGAATATCGCTACAAAGGAGATAGGGGATGGGAAGGCTAAAGCTTAATTTTGCTACATATATTACAGAGAGCCTTCAAGGCAACGAGCAAAGGATCTACTTACTATTGACAGCTGAAGAATAATCTCGATCCAAGCCTAAACCAACATTGTCGATACCGGCGGAGCTGAAGGTTCGTCCAAGGCAGGGCATATCAGGAACAGGAAAGTTCAGTGGAGGCGGATTAGGATATCTATTGGGAAAGTGTTTAGAGAGAAGGAACTGAGGGCTTGTCGGTTTGGGCTGGCCTTTATTTTAGTTGCTTTCTTTTTCTAGAATTTGGACATTAAGTCTAATGATGTAATGAGGTTCTACAGTAATTAAATAAAAGCCTACTTTAACCAAAAAAAAAAATATTCGGGAAAATATTTTATTTTTTTCTAATTCCTTGCCGATTCTTTTCAGTCTATGTCCTTTTTATCAGAATATTATTTTTATACATAAGAATTTTTCATTTTTATATATAACTTTTTGACAAAATAATTTATTCTATTCAAATGATAAGAAAACAAGAAATCTCATTTCCTTCGTAATGTTTATTATCTCAACAATAATTTATTTATTTTTTAAATAGTAATTATTAGATTTTTATGGTGATGACATGTGACACTTTTTACTTCTCCTATTATATATAAGATAGATTCATCTCGATAATGTTGGTGAATTTACACCCCAAGCTTTTAATGATTATTGTATATCAACTGGGATAACAGTTGAGCATTTGGCTGCTCATATTCATACTCAAAATGGTCTAACAGTTATATTGTTTAAACGCCTCCAATTAAATGTTAGACCAATGCTTATGAGAACAAAATTTCTCATTTCATTATAAAGTCATGCTATTTTGCATGCAGCAAGTCTTGTGAGGATTAGGTGTAACACCCCGACTTTTCCAAAACGTCTAAATTAACTCGTACCTTCGTGGAAAGACAAAGAGGGTGAGTAATAAATTAAAAAGGATGTGGTATGTCATATTTTAAGTGTTCAAAGGTTTTATCTCAAGTTTTGAAGTTAAGTAAGTGGCAAAATAAAAGTTGGCAAAAGTTATCATAAGTTCCTTTATAAAGATTTCTTTGAAATTTGGGTCAAATGTATTGGATGTTTTCTCCCATTATATAAAGAGTTAGAAGGCCTATTGCCCATTAAATCGAAGGCCTACGAGTCTAGTTTGCAACGCACAAAACCCCGTATCAAACGGACATCCGAGTAAAAAGTTATGAGGGTTTTACTAGGGACTGCCAGGGCAGAATCCGGGTCGGGTAAAGAAATATGGTATGTCGGCTATTTAACGTTTTTAGCCATGGAAACA